CCCAGATAGCTTAAGGCTCGTAATGTACGACTTCAATTAACCTTATTACTGTATTTTTGAATTGTTTTGAGATGAGAAGAGAAAGACGCCCTAAAACTACGGTTGAAAGGGAATCTACCTACTATTATCATGCATGGTTTAAAAACCTAATGTTTGTCATAATTCCCTCTTGCACAGAGGAAATCAGAGATCCTAGGGGAAACAGCAAAAGAAAAGCAAGCAGTAAACAGTAAACAGTAAAATGCATGCTATGCAACAGTACAAGCGAGGCAAGGTAGTCCTGCTCAACCTCAAACCTAAGAAAACAACAGGCAAGGGGAGACAAGCTCCACCTCAAACCTAAAGGTAAGTAACACAAGCAAACAGACAAAGCAGCAAAATAAAAAACAGAGGAAGCAGCCCAAGCAGCAGCAACAATCTTCTACAGGCAGCAACTTCAACCTTTAGCAGCAGCTCTTGTCAGCAAAGTTGAATTAACAGCAAAGTTGACAGCAAATAGTCTTCATCTTCAAGATAGCTCCTATCTTCAAGCTTCTTCATCTTCAAACTCTAGCAAGCTCCACAAGAAGAGAAATCATCATTGAGATCAAGTTACAATGCTAGGAAACCTGATGAAGACCAAAGGAATTCATCAGGAACCAACATGGAAAAAAAGTGCATCCTCAAAAGTTCTACTCATTAGGCATGCCACTCATCCCTCCAAAGGAGATATGGGGCTTCCTTAAGATTACTTTGCATCATAGGATGAGGATAGAAGCAAACAATGCATTCTATTTTTTCTGAAAGGAAAAGAACTAGTTCTAATGGCTCTTCCTAAAACCTTAATCCTATAAGCTTCTAAAAAGCTCCTAAAAGAGAAAGAAAGCTTCAAGCTAAGCTCCACAAGCTAATCCACAGCAGCTACAAGATGTCCAGCACCTCCTCAAAAAAGGAAACCAAGCTCTTCAAGCTCCAAAGCCACCAACAAGATCAAACAAGGCAAGGCACCAAAGAAGGAACACTAAAAGCAACACCTACTTGTGAATTATATCTAAAATAGAAAACTAAGTTGTAAAAATCTAAGAAATTACCTAAGGGAACATGCATGTTTTAACATTCTAGGATTCAAATATCAAAGCCTAAATCAACTTCTAGGTCCACTAAATAAATCCTAAGTTGAATTGTTTCAAGATAAACCATAATTTGGGAATGCTCTAAACATCTCACCTAAAACAGAACCTACAATTGTTAAAAAAATCTAATAAAAATCCTAAGGGAGCATGCACATCTAAACTACAACATACTCAAAAATCAAATCCAGAAACCAAAACAAATGATCAAACCAAAATCAACAAAACAGATAGGTAAATATGCAAAATTAAAGAAATAACACAAAAAAGGAAATGCAAATTAAATTGAAAAATGCATGAAAATGCAATTTATTGATCCCAGAAAATCAAAAATTGAAAGAGGAGCATGGACATATTTTTAAAATATTTTTCTGATCAAAGATGAATTTTCTATGATTTTTGGAATCAATATGCATTTAAAATAATACAAAAATGAAATAAAAGAAATTAAAAACCAGGAAAATGTCATGAGCGTTGGATTGTTTGACAAAGTAATCAGATCCAAGAGCAATGAGCGCGTCCACGCAAGCATCCCAGTCACACGCTGACTGGGATTAATAAAACATTGCGTTTTTGGTTTTGGAGGCAAATCCTTAGATCAAATGCAAGCCACACGATGCGCATAACAAGTCAATCTTCAACAAGATCTGATGGTCATCAGTCATCGTCCCCAATTCAAATGTCAAACGGAGGGAAACTCAGTGTGGTGGCCGGAGAAGACCTCCGGTCGTCTTCTCTGGCGAGGTAGTGGTTACAGGCGACCAAACAACATCAAATCTTATATCAAATTCATCAGAATTTCACAAGGATCTCCAAAATCTCATCCACTTCCTCTAGATCTGGCTAGGTTTTGAAATTCGAAGGCAAACAGAAATGCTACCTCAGGATTGATCATCACTAAATTCAAATCTAAAACCATAGGAATAATCCTCATACTTCATACATCAACCTGATCTATCCAATTCATCTTAATTCCTTATGACCAGATCAAATCGTGCTCAAACAGAAATCACATGTCACCTAAGTTTGGCTCTAATTGCTCCAATTCTTAACCAGAAACGATCCGCATTTCAACTATATCTTAACCACAAGTTAATTTCTAACTAACTCATGCTAGAATCCATGGAAATTTGGAAAGTACATACCTGATGTAGATCTATGAACAGAGGTAGCTAGAGTTTGATTCAGCCTTCAAAAATTTCCAGAATCACTCAAGGATGCAAGAGGAAGATGAAGAAACCTTCAATTTGATCTGAATTTACTTTGAACTCAAAACCCGATCTGCACTTGCTTGCTTGCAAATTCACTTTCTCTCTCTGCTTCTACCACGAAATGAGCACCAAACTGAGTCTTAAATCATCAAATGACTTATATAGAGTGTGTCTATGGGCTTTTTTAGTCCAATCCAAGCCCAAATCAGTAATTCCAATTTTCTGTTTTCTCTTCAAAATTTCCATGTGACAGTCATGAATTGGCCATGGAACTTGCTCTAGAAGCTTCCTTTTCAATTGAAAAATGCCTTGTGAATACAATGGGACCAAAAGGAACACTTGAATTGCCTTGGTATGTGATTTGGTTATGTTACTTGCTTGTGAAGAAACAACATTGTAACTCATGAAAATCTGCCTCAACTCAAAAACCTACCAATGTCATTGTGTTTGAAATGATATTTCCATTCAAAATGAGTATTTACTTGACATGTTTTGGTCACTCAACCATTAATTTGAATTTTTCAACTTTGAATCCTTTTAAAATCTTCCTTTTTAAGCCATTTCAAAACAAATCTTAATATGAGCCAAATCAATTCATCATGACTTCTTGGTTAGCCTAAAAACCACATTTTGAACAAGTTCCATGTTGAACAAAAATCCATTTGACAAGTGCAAGTTGGAGATTTTGACCTATGATTGAAAATGGCCTATAATCTCACTTTCCCAAAATACCCCTGACTTGTAAACCTCATAACTTGAGTTCTACAAATCAGATGGAAGACTTCTAAAACAATTTGGAAAGCTACGATCATGAGGAACAACTTTCATGTTGGCAAAAAGTTAATGTGAAACCTCCTTCTAGGTCAAAAATAGCTTTGAAGTCAGATGATTTTCACAGACAAATTTCAGAGGCATCTGAGGACCTGTAACTTGTCTGGACTATAACTTGAGTTCTATAGATCCAATGGAGGATTTCTAGTACTCAAATTAAAGGTATTGAGATTCTCTACAAGTTTCATGTTGGCCAAGGATCCATTTGAAACATTTATCTCGACTTATGTGGTCTTGAAGTTAGGCACTAAACAAGGGATTTTACACTGAAACCCTAATTTAGCAACTTCCCACACTCTTGACTCTTCTTGACTTAATCTTGGCACAACACCACAAATGTCTCATCATATCATTTCATGAACTCCATGATCTAAAAGTAGTCTTTGATACTCTTCAATTGCACAGTTGACCTAGGATTGACCCAGATGAAACCCTAATTGCTCTCACTTCAACTGTGGCTCTTGCATTTGACACAATGACTTGATTGAGCTCTCCCATGGCCCTCTAGGCATTCTATGAGCTCCATACACATCCTCTTCTCATATTCAACACTTCACATCCCTCTGATGGTCTTCAATTGATCCTCAAGTTAGGAGAAAATCTACATGCAAATATCTAAACCCTCAGGTACTCAAATCACCTCCTGATGACCTTGATAACTTCTTAAACTTGAATAAAACCTCTTGCTAGGCTCCTCTTGATAAGAATCACACTTGATCCCCTTCTATATGAATGATATCATGATATGCAAATGATATAACTATGCAAATGTTAATGCAAATGAAACATAAACCAAGTAGGAAAAGGTTGAGCAAATTTTAGGGTGCAACAGCCCCCTCTGTTCTCGGGGCCGGTCCTCTCTTCTTCTTTCCCCGCCTTTTCGAGGAGCAGCGGTATCCTCGTGCCTGGTGCCCCTGACGCCTTCTTGATTCCGCGTGTCGCGGGCTCAGTGGGCGGCCTCTATTTCCTCATACTGGATGTATGATTGGGCCTTAAAGAGGAGGGCGTTTAAGGTGCGGGGTCTTTCAATCCCGACGGCCTTTACAAAGTCGGTGCGAGGTCGCAGTCCTTGCTTGATCAGGATTTT